AATGGTATTCATTAAGACAGTTATATTCTCCTTTATCACACAAAGCTTGTAAGCTTCTGAGGACTGGGATGTCTAAGAGAGTCAGTGGTTGAGTGGTAGAATGCTCTTCAGCTACTTAGAAGGTCCGGTTGTGGTTTCTGACAGGCTAATTCATAAAAATCAATTGGCTGGTGGTAAGCTCAGAAAAAAGACGAACGTTAGTCTTGAGACTAACAACTTCACTCCGTAAAAGTAGCGTGGCCGATACTGAAACCTTAACTGTTCCAAGTCGAAATCGAAGAATAAGAAAGATAGCAATCATACAGAACAACTGAAATACTGGCAGCCCAAAAAATTTTGAATCGAAAGGTATTATTAAGAAATAGAAGATAGTTTTTTACGCTGTTAAAGTACCACTTATTTCTCCCATACAACCTATGATTGGATTATGCGTCAAAAGCAAGTTACCAGTACTTCTCTCTTCAGTATGTGTTTATATGTCAGTCTATGTTCTCCTTTTAAGTACAATGTGTTGGTCGTAAGCAGCGTTTACGGTCCTAACGTATATTTAAACATATGCCATTTTGTCTTCGTTGGGAGCAAAGAATATCTTCTCACAACTCTGTCTTAGAACATTTGTTGATTCTGACCCTCAGATGGATCCACGAACTATTCCAGATATTGTCTTTGGTTTATGGGACAATTCTTTGGAGTAGAGTATGTGTAGGTGACAGCACAGGTTAACAATGAGACTCTGAAAAGACTTCACCTAAACCTCTTGTTTTCAACTGTAACATATGTAATTCCTGTCTATTTATGATTTTTATGTATATGAGAAGTAATTGAACTAACATTACTCAACTGCAGTTCAAATATTTCATCTTTCGTGAGTTTTAAAGTCAGTGCAACCTTGTATATTCTGTATTCTCAGATGAAATACCACTTTGATGATGTCTGAATGTGCAAATCACATTTTTTAAAATTTACGGTTCTCAAAGAAGAATTTTACTTTAAATTAATGAAACGAATTCATTATTTCGTTTCACACTTGATATTTTATCCATGTTTTTTTTAGTCGGTTTAACTGATTATCTGCGAATTCATGAATCTCTTAAGTACTAAAATACTTGTGGTGGAAGACGCTTTTATAATGGTGTACCTAAACAGTGAGAACAATCGATTTGTTATTTATTCTTTTTCACGTGTTCCTCCGATTTATGATTTGTTGAAATTGTAGATGACTGTCGGATGTCTTATAAAAGTTGGTCTGTTTTCCATTCCATCTAACAGATCAAAATATATTGATATGAAAGTACTTTACAGTCGTACGATGTCAAGTTAGTTAACTGTAGCAAGAAAACAGAACTTATTTACTATAGTACACAGTAAAACACTTCTATATTTTAAGTTTCATAATCAGTACTACGAGTACTGAATTATACAAAAATCCAGAAAAATACATAATAACATTCCTTTATTAATATGTTTCATAATTAAGTGGACATCATATATAAACATTCAGCTGTTTAATGCATATAACGAGAGTAAGCGGGTAGGTGAAGAGGCAACTTTTTTCAGATTTTCTCTCTTTTGCTTTCCCAGTAAAGCATAGGGCTTCAAGCTTGATCTTTGTAGTTTCAGTAGGAGTAATTTTTAATTACTTTTACGAAGTAGGGTTGCTAGCCCCATGCCCAACTTTTTATCTTTACTGGGGATACTTCTTGCTGTCAACGTGAGGTTGAGAAGTGCATCAGCTGGGGGATCGAACCTCGGATCACGTGCAGCGTGGTTGATCAACATTCCATCATTGAACTGCTGAGGTACAACACCGTGTTAATCATTCTAAAACTAAATGAAACTAATACTTATTTGACGCTGGCGTCAGTAGGACTTTCACATTTAACGGTTTGTTTTAAACATGTATTATAATGCTAAATATATTGCAGGGAATACTGTCAGCCATTTTTTGTTGTTGCGGTAGTGAATGCTGTAGGTAAATTGTTAATTTGAAAGACAAAAGATTAAAGGTCAGGAATCTTTCCCTTTCCCACATACATTTAGTTCAGCCCTGGAAGACATTCTTGTATCTTTGGTAAATTAATTAGATAAAAATAGTCAAGGAAAAGCTCTAAGGAAATATTGCGGTATCAGAGGAAAAATGCAATGTAGAATACAGATATTATGCAATACAATACAGATGTGGAATTTTAGGAAACAGGTCAGTCAATTAAAATACAGTCAATTATAATAATTATTTATTTCAATTTTAGATTTTCCCGTCGATTGATTGGACCAAAGTGCTCGGTCTCAAGTTTACATGTCGACTTCTTTTGCAGATGCTTTGACGATGTTTGGGCATTTAATTAGAATTTAACTGGTGGATGGTGACTAGCAGTGGAATCCAGGATAGGCATTTCGTCCCATTTGCGACTCGTCACAGCTGGATGAACCTGAATTCCACAGTGAGTGATGATGTTTCCACCGAGGCTTGAACACAGTGCCCATAGTTCAATTAAATAGTTAATATGATCCGTTGCACAAGAGATGGCTGTCGTGGCCTAAGTGGTTTAGTCGATAACGCTTTGGGGTTTGAAAATATGGGCACTGCATTCAAATCTTGGTGGGAAAATCGTCACTCAGTGTGGAATGCAGGTACATCCAGCTGTGACGAGTCCCAAATAGGACGAAATACGCATCCTGGATTCCACTGCTAGTCACCATCCACCAATTGAATTCTAATTATCATAATTATTTTGTGCAACTAAAAGGATATATAACAGATGTGTTTCGTATATACTGACTCTTTTCTGACATTAGTCGATGCTTTCAGTCGAATCAATCGACTGGTATAGTGCATTCACTTGTGCTAAGAATTTCTTACTGTAGGGGAGTAAAATCATTCTGTAGTTAAATATAATTTCAATCCATCCTCCTATATACCAGTCACTTTTATGATCTCTTGTCGGATTCTTCTCGATTGTGATTTGGAAGAAACTAAACAATGAATTCTACATTAATTTCCATTGAATTTTGTACTGATAACATGAAGACTTCTAGAAAATCATAACTAGGCTGAGCTATTCACCAAATTTGATAGTCTGGCTGTGTGCTACAAATACGAACATTTTAGTAGTATATGCAATGTGATATCTTCAGTAAATGTCATGAAAAGATGATTGATTGTTGATGCTTAAAACAAAACGAAATGAAGAATATTGATTGTTAATTTAAGAAGGGCTAGACGAACATGAGGATGACTCCAAGGAGAAACATGGGAGAAAGTAGAATACGAAGATATTTACTGCAGTTCAGAAATATGCATCTAATAAGTCGCTTTTCGTCCGTGTGAGCACCGGCGGTTCAGTGGTTAGGCACTGGCGGATGGAGAAAGGGGGCCGGAGTTCCATCCCCAGCTGATGCACTTCTTTGCTTTACTTAGTCGGTACTAAGCCCCACAAATATCGATAGTTAGGCATAAGGCTAACAACCCAATCCCATAAAAATGCATCACTGCTACTAGGACTACAAAAAAATACTCTAGCTTGAAGTTCAATGTTCCACTCGGAACGCAAAGGAGTCAAGTACATTTTTAAGGAAGTAAAAAATAAGTCAAAGGAGAAAAGTCCATCGTCTGGAAGACGACTGTTTAGTGTCAATTTCATTCTGATACTCTGTTGTATTAAACTATTTGTCACAGGATAATTTTAATTACATAAACGTAACCTCAGCACTGTAATCATTTTAAATAAAAAATTCTTCAGAATTGCATTAAAATTTAGCAACAGTATACACCAACTGTTTTCTCTTGTTTCAGTATTACACATTTCATCACGATCTTATACGATCTACGTGGGAAATTTATTACTCCTCCCGAATTAGGTAGACACCCTAAGTTGAAACGTTTGAAATGGTGGTAGCTAACTTTGAGTCTCAGTGAAATTCACTGAGGATTACAGGTGTATCCAGATGACAAGTCTCTGGTAGTATGAAATATGCATCCATCCACTAAATAATTTATGTTAATTGCCTAAACATGAGTAGTATAAATCTAATGTGTTTTTTAACTTCTAAGTTGAATGCACCTTTGAGCCACTGGGACCCGATCTAATGGTTCTTGAATTCTAACTTCTGCCAATTCTAGTGGGCAGCCGTGACCAGTAGGCTACAGCAGTTTGAAGGTGAGACAGTAACTCATTGAAGAAGACATTGCGAAACGGTCGCGCTGTCTAATGAATTGACACAAGTTAGAATTTAAGAACCATTGGATTGGGTCCCAGTGGCTCAGTGGTCCACGAGCTCGCTGGCGTTGTAACCAGAAGGTCCTGGGTTTAACCCAGGTGGGTGCTTACTGATGAAGGGTTCCAAACTAGGACGAAACAGCTGTCCAGTAATACCAGGTTTTCCAGTGGTTCTCTAACTAATGTCAGCCCATGACGAAATCCTTCATGCAATCAAACAGAAAATCCCTAAATAACCAATACTTGAGAATATGCCTTTGTATTTCATCATAGCTTCCTCTGTAAATCGAAAGGTGCTGGATATTCGTCAGGAGTGCATGCTCATAGCCACTTTATACGTTAGGTCCTATACGATTCACTTTCAAGGTAAACACTTTGCTTACCCTTTCAGTATGAATGCTAATTTATGGAAGTCCTAAAATTGCCAACCTCTTTCAGCTTGCTATGTAATGCTACAGATCTTCAACGTTTTCCATGGTGAGTAACTGTCTGGAGACGTATATTTGCTGATCCCACCATTTATTAATGAAGGCTGTAACTAATCATTAATAATCAGTGAACTGACATTAGAATACAAAATCAGTTAAATGCTATGCACACACCAACCCCTTTATATATATATATATATATATATATATATATATATATATATATATATATATATATATATATTACTAACATGCCTGTTTATATTACTTACAAATAATCATTACCAGCTATTTCCAGTGACAGGATATATCTCAGAATACACATATATGCATATCATAATCTCTTTCAACTTACCTATAGTAGTAATAATAGTAACAGCAAATAATATACTACCTTCAAATGTCCAGTTGAAATCATCTATATGCTCTGATCCATTCCATCCTTCATCTTTTATAGCAATAACAATCTGTTCAACATATTCTGTTAATTTTTTCTGTAAAGCATTTTCTAGCATACTACTTTGGTTGATAATTTTAGGTAGGATATCATCTAATTTTGCAAGTAGTATCAAATGTTTTGGTAAAGAGTTAATTAACTCTGTTGAAAAATAATTTAAATGTAAGCTATAGTTTGTTTTATTATTGTTTACAAATTTTGTGTTCATTTCATCACTATCAGGAGAGGTTATTCTGGGAGCAGTTGTCGTTACCGTCGTCGGTGTTGTTGTTGCTGTTGCTGTCGGTAATACCTGTGCTTTCAACATATATGAATTATGTAGTGCATAATCGTTACGATTAGTAACACTGTCAGTCGGTGTGACATCTTTACCCTGTAACGATTGATTCATCGAGTTGTTCGTCATTACACCGTGTAATTCATTTATAATATCGATAGTAGCTGTATTATTATTAAGATTTTGTAATGGCGTAAACTGTGTATAATTTCGATGAAACCACCATTGGGGTAGAATTCTTTTCGACCAACCTAAACTTGATAAATACCATGATAAACCAGCTAAGTGTTGTTTCTGTTCATCTTTTAAATCACTAAACAATAATCGTTTATTACTCTCCTTATAAAATTCACTATTTATTATAGCTAAACGTTCAATGGAATCATATAAATTTGTTTGATTTTTAAATTTTCTGCCTAAATTTGTTTGTTCAAATTGATGAATTATATTTACATGATTAATTAATGTATCCAATAATTCTATCTGTGTATTTCTCCATTCAAACATCAATTCCTCGACTAATTTTTTACGAGTTTCAAACATTTTAATTTTAATTTGTGATTCATGATCACGTTCAACAGCATAGAACATTGAACCACCAATCACTGTATATACAACAACTAGAATAGCTAATCCAACATGTGATAATAAAAAGGTGAAAAGACGTTTTAGGCATAAAATTGTTTCGTGGTTTTTAGAAATATTCTCAGCACTGTCATCATTATCCTTATTAGGTGTATTAACTTTAATATTATCCCTGACTGCAGTAGTACTATCGTTCATTACTGTATTAATAGGCGCATTACTGAACATACTTACACTTTTGTTTGTAATTATAGGCGGTAGATTCGATTTGAAAACTTGTTGACTGAAATGATTATGCTGATGAGAAGGCAATACAATAGAATTCACATATGACATGTCTTCTGGTAATTCTAATTTAGTGTTATTATAATTATACGGATTTTTCACAGTAGAATAGTTTCGATAGTTGGGTGCTTTAACTATTCGATTTGAAGGTACTCGGCTAGTTAATGAATTTGAATGATAAAGATGAAAGTCTGTATTAAGATGTGGTCTGATGTACATGTATTTGGATTCTATAGATGTTTTGGCGGTCATTAATTAAAAACACACATGTGGAAGTATCATACAAGCCCCCAGGTAACTGAGCTGTGTATTAGAATTGCTACTACTACTATTATCATTATTTCTTAAACATTATCTATCTATTGTGTAACCAACAAATAATGACAAATAATATCTTATTCATAGGAAAGTAATATCTTATGCAATCAGCCAATTAAATGACAGTATAAAAAACTTTCCCATCCAATCAGATTATGATTAGGGGCGACGTTTTGATGCTTTAAGTATAATATACAGGGAAATTAGAATGGTGGATTACTGAAAGTTGTCAGTCGCCTCATAAGTGTAAACTATTTTTATTCATGTTCATGTATACATATCAAATTATATATGTAAAGGCCAGAAGGAGGAATAATCAGAATAACTGAGGCTTTGGGCATTCTCCTCTGTTTATCAATAAGATCTCGCCTCCGCTTTTATTACGATAAATAAGGTAAGATAAACTGCACCTGGCTTCTGTTTGTCATTTGGGATAAGATATCGTAAATGATGGCCACTTTTTTTAAGCATTATTATTACTAATATTACTTTTAAAGCCTTACTATCTTTGGGTTTTAAAGTGAATCAGAAGTTACTTTAGAGTTACCGTTTTAATTAATGACTAGGAAACAGTAAAAAAAAACTAATTTTAGAATAGTTGAATGAATCATAAACGATCTGCTGAATAGGCATAAAAGGATCTTATCGTGAACCAATAAAAATTTAGTAGATTAAACCACGAGGATGTTATGCCTAACATGGAAGCAATATTCAATGAAATGATGTCAGCTCATGATGAAATCCTCTAGCCAATCAAACAAAATGCCCACAGAACCAATACTTGACAATTATATGAAGTAGACAGAACTACTCCTTAACAAGTAAGAGCACAATGTGTATTAATGCTAAAACACTCGGAGAAAAAGAGAAATAGCTTATCACAAAAAGAGATAGAAGCTCTAAAATGCTTGGAGAATGACAAAGACATGGTAATTACAAAATCGGACAATGGTAATACAACAGCAGTTATGGACACATAAGGTTAACTTATAATTTCAGAAAGTGAACAGGGTGATTTGGCTATACTAAACCGTAAAGTGAAATGAAAACAAGAAGGTGAGTTAGATACTGCCACTAATGAATACTTTGACTTTAGTTCGTTCCATCCAGAATGGGTAAAGTCTGGGTTTCATTAAATGTTTATATAATCGATCCAGGAGCCTAACTGGTGAGTCAGAAAATAAATACCCATCAGAATTTATTCAGAAATATATGAAAACCCATAGAAAAAAACTAGATTAACAAAGAAAACGATGAAAATAACGTAAATAATGCAGAATTCAAAACCTCCATAGCACTACCATATAAAGAAAAAACATCTGAGGCCTTATGTAGAATTTATAATGAGGTTGGAATTAGCGCGATATTTAAACAAACCAACACTTCCATACATAAACTTTGTCGGCTTAAGGACCTAATAGGTCCATTTAAGAAAAATAATGTGATGCTCGCTAGTGACTGGCTACAGGATGGGTATTTCTTGGATTTCTAATCAGAAGTTGTGACTAGTGGGGTCTATCCTGTTGGGAGTGCAGACATATGGTCACCGACGACCCTGACTAGTGGTCGCTCTAAAATTAGAAATGATGGACCGCTAGTCGAGGCCTAATGGCTGAATGCTCTACGAGCTTGCTTTGTAACCGGAAGACCCTGTTGAAGAGTCGCAAACTAAGGTGACGAAATAGGTGTCTAGTACTTCCATGTTTTCCAATGGTTTTCTAATCGATGTCAGCTCATGGTGAAATCCAGTAACCGAAAATAATATAATTTACCAAATACCATATAATGACTGTGAGGTTAATTACATAGGTCAGACTAGTAGATCAGGGTCAGTTAGATAACCCAGACAAAAGCTTAGCCATTGCATTTACTTGCATGTTATTACAAAATAGGGTGGGAGTATTAAAAATTAATATAGTAAGGTGGAGAGAGGTTAATCACTGAAGCTTTGTTTATCCATCCAACACCACACACATGCAATCGGAATGAGGCAGCGACTATACCGGAGATATGAAAAGTGACATTAAACAACAAGGAGAAGACGGAGGGACAGAATGATATATATATATATATGTGCATATGTATAACAAATTACGAAGCTGTGTGTGACTAAACTGACATGGCTAGGAGCAATAGCGTGTGCTCGATACGTCATCCAGTTAACAGTACTGCATCAGTGTTGGATATTTAAAATAAACTTATGTAATAAGTAGTCACGGCGTACTCTGGTTCAAAACCTCCTGATATAATTTGAATATATGTATCATAGAAATAACTTAGTACTGAAGAAAGTTATTCATAGGTAGAATAACTTGCTGATAATGTTTCTGATATCATCCTTATTTTGCGCATGAAGAGTAGGACTTATCAACAGAATTATTTTCCTTCTTTTATATATTTTGAACTGGCATCATTCCTTGCAAGAAACTTAATCCTAATTTCGTCATTTCACGGTTTAAATCAGTGCAACACAGAATCTTATGAATACAGTGTTTGTCGAAAAATTATCAATAAATTACATCGACAGGTTGTCATTTGACTGATAAACTGAAGAAAAAAAGTAACATTTAGTTGATGGTCAAAAGTCGTGATAAATGTGACCATTCATTATCAAGACTTAAATCTTAATTATGAAAGTGAACGTGAAATCAGCTTAAAGTGAACTGTCTTGATAACACTGTTAAATTAACAGACAGAATTCAGCCAGGATAAATACCAACGACTGCATACATGGCATTTGTTACTTCCCTAGTGGCTAATCAAAATATTCAATACATTTGTAAAGCAGGTCATTTTTGAGGAAGAAAATAGCTAAATGGCATTGTCTTTGACTGCCGTACTAGGTGCCATGATTTCGAGTTTTGTTTATGGGCATCAGTTCCCCTGGAGTTGTGAATCTATCTATCAGCAGGCACAAACAGCTATGGCTAGAACTTCTTACTGCTCACCTAACATGAAATTCAACCTCTGTAAGTCAACGGAACTGCTCCTTGAGTTCAATTTGACCCTGATGGATAACAGCATCAAAACATTCTCACACTTCTGATGATCCCAGTGATGATTGTAACGTTCCTCCTTCAGATCACTATATACTTTCTACATTTTCAACTGTAAAACCATTCGATAGTGTAGTCATGGCATCATGCAGCGATAGTGTTCACTACAACAAGAGACTAGTGTTAATTCAATTGGTACATGAACTGGTCAGCATGAATTTCCGATCGTAGACAATGAATGTTGTTACCAAAGTATCATGCATTCATATATGCGGAAAACCAACTGACTAACACCAAATAACGAGGAAAGTATTTATCCTGTGTTTCACTGCTTCTTATAGCTGAGTGAATAACATACAGACAGAATTTCAGCCAATATCAGAGCTTTTGTTAAAAAGCCAAGATGGCTACAAGGGTCAAGTTAATAAGAATTCCATGCATTTCTTCCCATTGATGAAGATGAATAAAGCAAGAACAACGGTGGCCTACGCAGAATAATACGGTATCATCATTTATTTCGTTGGCCTCTCATCAGCTGCTTACAGTCTAAATAAACTATGAGGTTTATGTACAAAAACGTTTTAACATACTTGCAAATATTGCATGTTGTCAGCTGGCTAGAAGTTCTAGGCTTAGTGAAAAGTGCTCAGAAAATTACGCCTATGTAGTTTTTGCTCAGGGAGTTCAAGTTGAAACAAAATAAATTTATGCATATAATGGTAAAGGAGTTATGTAATAAAGATGAGATATGCGTCAGATGCAGAGTGACTAATAAATTGGGCATCAGTGTACTGAGTTGAACTCAAACCATAGAAATAAGAGACAAGCAGAATTACGCTGTATCAAAGGGGGTGAAGTTAAAGACAAAGATGACGTAACCAGATGAGAGAGAGACTAAAGACTTCCAGTTACCAATATGGACAAGGAAATACTGATAACTGCTTCTTTCTGAATACATCAATATGGTTTCAAGCTTTTGATAGAAATCGCCTCGGCAAACTTGAGGAGAATCGAACTCCTTTGTCAACTGATAATTTTAAAGGATTTCTCGATTTTCACCTCATAACTGGCATCGAGATGTCTGGTAAAAGCGGTATTATAAGAGCCTTTTGCCCTTGAAACTTAGGCCTTTTGGCACACGTTTAAAAATTGGAGTTTTACCCTTCTTTCTGTTCTCCCAATATCGGTAGAATGTTCATTGAAGAAGGCAAAATATCGATAATCTTCTGTAAATAATTCACATTGATTTTCTTTTAAAAGGAAACGTTACTTTCACCAACTTGGTATACAAAAACTTCTCAAATATTTATATCAAACACTGTATGCAAAACACTCCAGCATACAACCGAAAATATCTGGAGTATTTTTTTTTAATTGTCATGGTAAATATTCCTGTAAAACAACAGAATAATTTTTATGAAAACAATCTTACCACGACTTGTTTGTTATTTGTGAATAATTTTATTCATAAGTGAAATACGCTACTCAAAATTGAAGTGCTTTGACGTGAAGCCATGAAATTATAAGAAAAACAAATAACAGTGACCTGCATATCATAGTTTAACTGAGATCAGCTTATTAACAGTTACAGTATATGTGATAATCAATTCTTCCACAAGGATCAGAAAATTGGATCATCAGGAAAAGAATTTCCAAAAGCCAGCTGTAGACTTTTGTTAACAGTTGTCTTCATCGATTCCATACTGAAGATCAGATAACCGACCAGAATGAATTAGCAAAACCGAACTCAAAATGAACCAGACGAGAATTTTTTTTATTTTTGATTTACAGCTTGATTCCACACTGTATTTTTGGTACAAGTATTGATCATCTAACACACATGCTGAAGAGAATAAAAAGATGAGCCGGATACAAAATGAGGAAATTACTGGGTGACATTGCGCACCACGTCCTCGAGTGAAAATGGGTTGAAAAACGAAAAGTTGAGCGTCCGGGGATGACATTCAGGCGATTGTGAGAGGACAAGATGAAAACAATTGAGCTGTCTTGTGTGTATCGGAAAAGGACTGCGAAGAACAGA